CAGTTACTTTGTTTCCATGTGTTGAGTGACAGCTCTGGTGTTGCCATGGTGACAGAAATCAGGAGTAAGTGCAGAGTGTTGTGTGTGAACATGATCTTACTGTAGTTCTAGACTAAATATCAACATGTTTACTCATCTCACCTGCACACAAACACATTCAGTGTTCCTCACAATCAATAAAAACAGTCAAATGCAAACTCAGAATATGACGCAAACCTGCAATAATTAAATATGTTAAATAATACAAATATAATTTATGTATTTTATCCCATTTTATGAACCAATGTCTTTGCTGCTGACCTTCAATGATCCAATTCAATCATACTAATAATCAAAAATGACACATTTGTGTATAAATTTTAGTTATTGCTGAATAGTGTTGAACTTTCTTCTGCTGCGTCATATTCTTCATGTAGTTTGTCTGAGCTGCGCCCTCTACTGTACAGACGTGAATTTACATTTCCTTCAGCCTGAGGCGCATTCATTCCAGTTTTGGTGTGAAAGAGTATTTACACTTGTAAAAGAAGAACTTTATTATGTTAAAAACAAACAAGCAAGCCCTGCCCAGATTTAAAAAGTAACTCAAAAGTAACGTAACGCATTACTTTCCATAAAAAGCAAATAAGTAACGTAATTAGTTACTTTTTTAGGGAGTAACGCAATATTGCAATGCATTACTTTTAAAAGTAACTCCCCAGCACTGCATGGCACCAGACTAACGAGAGACGTGATAATCACTGCGTGTTTCTGATCTGCAGGAGGAGAAGAACCTGATCCACGGAAACGTCTGCGCCAGGAACGTTCTGGTGACCCGAGAAGAAGACCGAAAGACGGGAACGCCTCCGTTCATCAAGCTCAGTGACCCGGGGATCAGCATCACCGTCCAGCCCAGAGAACGTGAGCGAAGCCGTATTCGTGTGGTTTAGAAAACACGTCCAGTCTGAACAGGACAGGAGCGAATCCAGACAGAACTGGTTTATTGAGCTGAGAGGAGTCGTGGTGTTTCTCCTGACGCGTGTCTGTGCTCTTCTGTCTGTAGTTCTGGTGGACCGGATCCCGTGGGTTCCTCCCGAGTGCGTGAAGGACAGCAAGAGCCTGAGTTTGGCAGCAGATAAGTGGAGCTTCGGCACCACGCTGTGGGAGATCTACTGCAGCGGAGAACATCCGCTCGCGGCGTACGACGGGTCCAAGGTGCAGCGGCCCCTCCGCGCTTCTGTCTGCGCTGCGTGTCGCTGACTCTAACTGATGCTCTTGTGTGTCGTGCAGAAGCTGCTGTTCTACGAAGACAAGCACCAGCTTCCAGCTCCGAAGTGGACTGAACTGGCCAGCGTGATCAACAGCTGCATGGAGTACGAGCCGCTGCAGCGGCCCTCGTTCAGAGCCGTCATCCGAGACCTCAACAGCCTCTTCACGCCAGGTGACGCTCACCACACGCACCGCCGCGCATACACCATGATAACTAGGGATGCAACAATACAGTTCACGGTTCAATACGCACCTCAGTTTTAACCACGGTTTTCGGTTCGGTTCTGATAGCTTGGCATATCAGAGCGTTTTTTGCAACAAATTAACAACAAAAAAACTCCTGTAGACCTCTATACACTGGAAAAAGCGTGGATTATTACATGTCTGCTTAACATTTCTTTTGAGAGAGGTATTATATTTCTGATTTTTATCCAAAATTTTTATTAAAAATTTAAAAAAATTTAATTGAGCGCTATAAACTCATGTAATGTGTGTTTCATTCATATTGGACACCAGAGGGCGCCCTCACGCAGAAAATCCACACATGCATCACAGAAGTAATAGAACTGATGACGTTCCAGGAAATCCCTGATATAGATAAAGGCATCGCTATCGCTGTAACTGAATAAAAAGAAGATATAACGTTAAACGTTTTGAATGATGAAATGTAAGGACAATAAACACTCGCCTGCGACAATATATGGTTTATCTGTGTTCTTCAAGCCATCTCAGGTATTTTCATAATGATTAAGTATATTTGCAAGCCATTTCTAATTGATATAGCCTTTGTTACAGTATAGAATATATTTTCTGCCTCATTCTGTGATAAGAAGCCACATCAAGATCACAAAAGGAAGCTATTTCAAACACTCACTGATGTTGTGACCTAAAAAGTTATAATGTTCTTTTTTGTTGGACAACAGGTTTAGAAAGGCTTATCATTGCATGTCTTTACAAGGGAAGATGCTCGGCGTGTGTTGCTTTTTCAAATATAAGCGTGGAGGCATTTCTTCATCTCAGCACGTGAATTCACGGACACACACACACACTCACACACACTCAAACACTCACTCACACACTCTCACGGACACACACTCACACACACACACACACTCAAACACTCACTCACACACTCTCACGGACACACACTCACACACACACACACACTCAAACACTCAC